GTACAAAAAATGGTAACTTATTATATAGAGGAATAAAGTCATAGAAAAAAGTAAACATTATTAAACTAACTTTCGGTAATCGGGACGCCTGTGTAAAGTCAAAGTGTGTTTTAACGATAATATACACTTACTTATTATGACACTATAATAATATGAACATAATATATGTGTCCAAAAATACCCGCAACTCATGTATTGCAGCCTTTGATGGCCAGTCCGTACTAATCAGTCTATATTACAAGACACACAATGTCTTGAGCGAGAAAATGCACAGACAATGTGAAACGGAGGAGACGTCCAGTCAAATGATGATTGCCTTCAATTGTGATCGATCGACAATTCAATAAATACACCATCCATTCAATGGCAGCTTCAAAAACTGCTGAGAAAGTAGTCTCGAAAACAATTTTTTGTCTCAAAATCGCTTCAAAACAACACTACTCTGACATATATATGTTGATTGATTTATCCATTCAGTCGATACAATAATATTCAAAAATTTTAAATGAAAAAAAGGTTAAAAATCATATTTTAAATATTATTTGCAAAAATAAAAGCCGTTTAATGCGTGAAGCGATTAATTTAATGCTTTTCAGAAATGAGCCGAAAATCTTTATGCAAATGAATGAATGAATGCCATTGTTTTGCAAAGCATTTCTTTCATCAGACGATTATAATTAAAGAAATATAACAAAAAACTATAAGCAGTTTTATTTTTGTTATTTCTAAAATGCATTGATAAACGAGAAACTTGGTTATTAATGAAGTGTTTGTCATTTAAAACATGTGCTCAAAACGTTATATTCATTTTAAAACGTTAACATTCAATAAGAAAATGACAATTAATTTTTGACATAAACTCAAAATGATATTTAAATAAAAATATATTTTGAATATTTGTCATCTATTATGTAAAACACATACATTATGTATTGATTTCCAATATATGCATAGAATATTATATTTAAACTATTTGTATTAAAAAAAACTTTATTGTGTTAAAAACGCATACTCTTTAATATAATGTTAATTCATAAGAGTTTTAAGATTACATAACATTTCGTTTTAAACCACAATTAATAACATTTTTATAAAACTAGTTAATTGTCAACAAAATTACACAATAATAAACTTTGAAGGGCTTGTCATCTATTAGTGCCTCGTTTTGAAATTAAAGTACAGAAGAGAAACGATAATAAATGCCAAATATTTTACCGCTCATAAAACAAAGTAAAAATGTGGTATTAATGCATAGTATAGTAGTTAACCATCATTACAACCATTCCCTAAACATTATATTTGACTTTAATAACAATAATAACCATATTCCTTGTCTTATAATGTAAGTTGGTTATAACGGGGGAGTAATAAAGTGGACAATTGTGACAATGGAAATAACGTAATGAGCGTTTGTTGTATTAATTACTGAGAAAAAACAAATAAAAAGTTTTATATTAGAAATAAAACCAAAAAAACTCAAGTAAAAGAATAATTGACAAAAATATACACTAAAATCGGTTATATTATTATATGTTAAAAACCGTTTCGGTTATACTGTATAATAACGAGCAATAAAAGCAAACTTTCATGCATTGAATTGGTTACTTTGTTTATTTTACAGTAAAATTACTGAAAATTTTGAATAAATTTTTAGTATTTTAAAAAACAAACTTATTTTGATAAAATTTTGTTAACGAGATTTTAATCATTACGTAACCTCAAAAAATGTGGCAATTATTCATTCATTCATTCATTCATTTTATTAGTAAATTGAAAGACAGAGGAAAAGATGTGGAATAGAGATAATGATTATATTGTTGTGTTTAGTGTTGTTAAGCAGTGATTAGGGCTATAAATGGCACTCAATAGACAACATAGATAGTAGTGACAGCACAGACACCACAGAACTGTTGCGGTGATGATCGCAAACTCTTAAAGTCAATAAATATTTTTGGTCAATAAATTCGCAAATGATTCCAATACTAGTGCTAAACATATACTAAAAAGCGGTGAAAAGATGATTAATTAGACGATTCCCTTAAGTAAACATTTAAGACTCCGGAAACTTTTTATAAACCAAACTTGAAAACTGATCGTTTGTTTTTTGGTGCTAATCAGTCGCTGCCAACTCTCTCTCTCTCTCTCCCCTCCAATGAAACAAATAAAATGTCATTTTAATGACTTTTAAAACTTATTTAAAAATCATAAAATTTTTTGTTTGAATAAAACTATTTTAAAACAATTGCTCTAAAATTAGTAATGCATTGGAGTTTTTTGTGGCAATTATTTATTCATTCATTCATTTTATTAGTAAATTGAAAGACAGAGGAAAAGATGTGGAATAGAGATAATGATTATATTGTTGTGTTTAGTGTTGTTAAGCAGTGATTAGGGCAATAAATGGCACTCAATAGACAACACAGATAGTAGTGACAGCACAGACACCACAGAACTGTTGCGGTGATGATTGCAAACTCTTGAAGTCAATAAATATTTTTGGTCAATAAATTCGCAAATGATTCCAATAGTAGTGCTAAACATATACTAAAAAGCGGTGAAAAGATGATTAATTAGACGATTCCCTTAAAGTAAACATTTAAGACTCCGGAAACTTTTTATAAACCAAACTTGAAAACTGATCGTTTGTTTTTTGGTGCTAATCAGTCGCTGCCAACTCTCTCTCTCTCTCTCTCTCTCTCTCTCTCTCCACTCTCACTCACACACACTCTCATCACTCTCTAAAATAGCATCACTAATGGGCTAAAGAGTGATAAGAGAATTGATGTGACATTTATAGCCAACTCACATGTGTTGCTCTGTTTTTTGAGATTTGACAGTTGGAGTCGAGCACTGGTAGCACTTTCTTAACATTCCTGTGCACAACATTTGACAAAATTGATGCCTCCGTTACACACTCTATATATTATGTATACATTTATATTTCTAATCCATACTCACTTCCAATCATTATTAAAATAAATACTCACTAACGAGCGCTCGGATTGTCTCGGAATGCTGTATGGATTGTCTTAATTGGCCATTACATAGGGGTTTGTGTGAAGTATAGTTAACGATACTATCCTAAAGATGACATTCATTAAGGAGAATGAGTGGCAGTATTGCATACTTAGGAGGAGTTTTGGCTAAACTTAAAAAACAGTCCATCGAAGTCATCACCGATTACTACACGACTGTCAATGGCTTTCCATAATTAGTTGCCAAAACATAGTCACACTTTTCATCGATTCCTAATTCTTTTACACAATATATGAGTTTTTTGAGCACAAAATGACAAAAGTTTGCAAAGTTTTTAAAGATTTCGGACACAATAACGACTTCTTTATTGATAATATTTTACATAAATCTATAAACAAATCAATAGTTTGTAATTCACACAACTATTCGCGCTTTGATCATAAAAGTGGATTAAATTATGAAATTGAGATTCAGTCGAAAGATAAGTGTCCGAAAACCATAGAATTTGCTTCAAATGCTTGTTTCGATACGAAAGCAACTTTTGGTAAGTTTGATATTTTTAAACATTTAATGTATTTTTAATACAATTAGAAATTTACTTAAAATATTCACTGAACATTTGGTTTAATAAATAACTAAATAATATATGTTAAAAAATTAATATTGGGTTAAAATTGTTTTATCAATTACAATTTTATCAGATTTAATACAAGAAATTGCTTGATTTTATACTACTATTATTGCAAACATTCAATTATATTTTAAATAACGTGTTCTATGTTTTTAAAATATATATTTTTAATAAATTGTTTATATATTTTATTAATAAAATGCTAAATTAAAATAAATTTTTTATTAATCAACACAAAAATTTGTTATTATTTAAAAGCCATTTACAGTGATTTTATAAATTGATGTTCAGACACATCGTAAATCATATTCAAACCCATTATGTTCAAAATAATATGCATATGAATTAAAATACTATATATAAAATTCACATTTTGACAATTTTAAAATAATAAATCAAAATTAAACCAAGATAATTATTAAAGATGAATATTGTTCAAAATATGGTATAAATTAAATCAATAGAGCTTTAATTTTAAAACATTGTATTTTAACATAAACAATGTATTATTAATAATATTTAACTAAAAAGTTACATTTAAGAAGTTGTAAGTTCTAAGTTAAATTAAATTGCACTTATGGCACTGTATAGAAACTAATAGTCAAAATAAACTTCAAACTAAATGATTATTTTAGTATTAAAGTTATTTTTACTAAAGTTTTACTATACACTAACTTAAGTAAATTTATAATAGTTTTAATTAATAAATATAATAAAAATATTACTTAATATTGCCGTAAATTAAAATTATCATAAATGCGTCAGTAATCAGTAATGCGAAAATTAACACGGTAACATTTGAAATAAAGACTTGGTCATTGTAGAAAAGATTGAGAAATAATGGTTTAGTTGTTATGGATTGCCATCTGTTAGAAAAAAGCGAGGAATCAAGAGTTGAAGTGAAAGTATTTTTCAGCAATTCTTCGTTTAAATGCATATTTAGGTTATCGTCGATATCATAGGCAATGAGGAACTGCTCTATGTTTTACTTAATTATCTAATTTAGTCATTAATTATAATCTGTTAGCAATTATAAGGGAAAGTTAATGACTAAACAACTTATATTATTTACATAATAATCGTTAGAACTTTTTGTTTTTGTTTTGTTTATTAATGTTTTAAAAATTGAAGACTTAAAGTGACAAATATTTGATTACAACTTATTTTCATGTCTTAATTATTAGTATTAGACGATTGCTTAATAACTATGCATTCAAATTAGCAAAACCTATATATAAACGTATGGATTAATTCACACAAAATACTACCCAATTATATCCCCGATGTGTTCATACCTTAATAGTGTCAAAATATTGAGAAAATGCCTTAAAAGTATAATTATTCAAATTAAACTGAAAGTTAATAATTATTCAAATAAATCACAGTATAATCAATGAGTTGTATTTGGTTTGCGTTATAATTTGAATACAGATTAAGTCATTACTAGAAAATACATCACAAAATAGGAAAATTGTGTGTTTCTTAACATCTAGTTGATTCCTGTTACTATTAATCTAAATAACCAAATACTTAATGGATTGGTTTAAACATGTTTAAAAATTTATTAAATTTATTTTAAAAAATTGAATGCGTCTAATATTATTTACTGTAAAGCTTATATTTACTTTTACCATATAAATTGTTAGATGCAATGCAAATATAACATAAAATTAATAAAGTTAATTACATAAAATAATTGTATCAAAAATTTCTTACACATGAATATTGTTGTATCTTGATAAAATTTAGTTATACTATTTAACATTTGACAATTGTTTTAAAGTTAAATCAGTGAATATTTTAATGAAAAAGATCATTTAATTCATATTTCAGTTTATTCATATTTTTAGATTTTATAATTTGTAACATAAAACTCAAACTTTAAAATAATAATAAAATATTTTGCATAAGTTTTTGTCACAAATGCATTACTATTAGTATTATTAATAATAACTAAACGCATCATTGATTTAAGTTTTAGAACTAAAACAACTAAATGAACACATTTTGCTTCAATGGCTTCACTTTTTAAAATATATTTGTAATTTAAGTATTATTTTTATTCTTTTTTATTAACATTACTTTCTATAATAATTGTAATGAAAATCACAAATAAATTTAAATATTTATTAAATTTGATGCAAATTTTAATTTAATTTATAAAACAAATATATACAGACAATAATATTTAAATATAAATATCTAACAATTTGCAAAAATATAATCAAATTTTAGAAATATACAGGTTAAAAAAGATTATAAAACACAATACAATATTGTTTGTAAATGGCTAATGCAGTATCAAACACATAATTTGCAATAAATTAAAAAATATAAATAATTATTTATAACTTGGATAGCATTATTTATAAAATATAAATGTCAAATAAAATATATTATAATTAATAATTTACGGCTAAATTAACTCTACTATTACTAGACATGCAATATATTTATTAAATAAAGATTTACTCAAAGCGTTCAAGCATTTCAAATTTATTTAATATTTTTCAATTAATAATTATTTAATATCTGATTTCAGATAAATAGTTATCTGGAATTAAGATATCGATTATAAAGTCAAAACAAAACCAATTTTCAATAATTTAAATATTTGTAAATCAATTGATTTGAATAAATCCCAATAAAAACCAATTTGTCCTCAAATTCTTTAAAACTTAATTATAAGTTATAATACAAAACAGGAATTGAATGTAAAGTAAAATTCTAGTTTAGCATTAATGTAGTTTTACGTGTGTTTCGCTCATTCAATATTAATTGCTTATATTTTATTTTTATAATTTTACAAATTTGTAGTTTCAATACGAGATTTATTCAAATTATGCGTTCATATAATGATATTATTTTGATTAATATATGAATACAACAAATGTTTAGCTGAAAGAGATGTGCGGAAGAAGAGACCCCGAACTGCATTCACAGCCAATCAGATCAAGACATTAGAGAATGAGTTCGAGAAGAATAAATATCTGTCGGTTTCCAAGAGATTGCAATTGTCTAAAGAACTGGACTTAAGTGAAACACAGGTTTGTATTGTTTTTAATAATTACTTTATTAAAATATCGTTAGTATTTTTACTATTAATTGCAACTTTATGAATTATAATTTAAAACTATGATAGTTAAACTATCTATACTAGTATATTAGTTATATATAAATTCTATATTGTTAATTTACTAGTACTGTATAAACATGTTAGCATAGGGTTAGACAACTGACCAATCTAAAAATCTTAATTGTTAAACCTCTGGCATAACGTTTGTGATAGAGCTCTTCAAATTTTAATTAGTTCAAATATTTACTACAGATAAATGCAGTTAATAAATAATTAAGTTATTACTACACGTTTAACCATGAAGATAGTTAGTACCACTACAATAGTACAATAGTAATAAATTATTATTATTACTAATAATTATATTTTAATTAACATTAATGTTATTTGGCTATACTTAACATCATACTGTATTACAATAATTATCAAACTTAATATACATTTTCTTTTTGGATAATTTTAGATTAAGATTTGGTTTCAAAACCGACGGTAAGACAAGAACTAAATACAGTACAGAATAAACACAATTATAATAATTAAAACAATTTGTAAAATCAGAACCAAATGGAAGCGCAAATACACGACAGACTTGGAGTCAATGGCACAGCAATACTATCACTCAATGGGTATACACTCTGCGCGACCACTCTTTGTCGGCGATAGGCTCTGGCTTTTCAACCAAATCAATCATTCGCTACAAAATCAGACCAACCATTTCATCGATAATAACCCAACTCTAAGCGCTTCTCATCAGAATCGGGACAATAATACTGTCCTTTAAATGATTGGTTCGCTATTTAATGTTTATTTGTAGTCAACTATTCTCTAGTTATCATAACATTTAATTTATAATCAATAGATTAAAACAATATTTGCATTATATTTATAATTATTTATTATGAATACATTATTAGAAAGTTTTCATTATCTAAGAAATAATCTCAAATATATTACAAAATGTATGAATTAGAGGCCAAAGGCATTGAAGTGATCGCTAAATTGATCACAAATCCTAAGCGATGCCAAACTAGAGCTTTAAATCACAATAAAATTACACATTATTTATAAAGCATTTGATGAAAAAGATAGTAATTATTAAAAATTTAATAATAATTATTTGTAGACTACAATAAAAACTTAATTAAAAGCTCTTGGGTTCAAATTTTGTCTTCACTGGTGATGACATTTGTGCCAATTCTTCGACATTAGAGCTCATCTCCGGCACAGCTCGGGGTCGGAGTGCGTACGGATGTAAGGTTTG